CACAGGAATTGGGAATGCTGAATATTCCCAAATACCCCCCATTCCCAAATAGCAATGGGAATTCTCTTCCCTTTTTCCCTTCCAGGATTATGTTCCTGATGATTTGAGGTTTGGGAATGGGAATAGGAATAGAGTCGTTAGCAGCACTCAGCGCTTTGTTTTGCATTTGTTTTGCATTTGTTTTGCATTTATTTTGCATTTCCATGGGCTCAGGCATCTCCAGCACTTCCCATGGAAATGCAAAATAAAAAAAAGAGTGAGGCTTTGGGAGATAAAACTTCCCCACTTAAAAACAGATTTTTCAGGGTTGTTTGCACCTAAAGCAGCCAGGACTGGAAAGTAAGGAATTGGGGGCTGAGAGAAATAATGGAAATAATTCCCTTCAGATGTGTTTTCCCACTGTTTGGGAATGGCTGGGCCTGTTCCAGGCACCTGTGCTTCCAGCTGGGAGAGTTTATTGAGCTTTTTTTATTGCAATATTGCAGGTTTATTGAGCTGTTTGTGGAGTCGTGGAATATCCTGCCAAAGGGATCCAGTCCAATTCCTGCACAGGACACCCCAAAAATGTCATTTTAGCCTCGCTTTGTGTTTTCCCGCTGCAATCCGTGGTTGTTTCTGCTGCTTCGCCCTCCACAATTCTCGTGGCCCGGGGATTTCACGGAATTTCAGTGGGAAAACATCCTCACATCCTCATCTTTTCCTGAAATCCTCTGGTTTTCCTCAAATCCTCAGCTTTTCCTGAAATTCTCCGTTTCCCTCACACCCTCAGTCAGCTTTTCCTCATTTTTTTTTCCTCACACCCTCAGCTTTTCCTGAAATCCTCGGTTCTCCTCAAACCCTCAGTCAGCTTTTCCTTAATTTTTCCCTCACATCTTCAGTTTTTTTCTCATTTTTTTCCTCACACCCTCAGCTTTTTGTGAAATCCTCAGTTCTCCTCGTACCCTCAGCCAGTTTTTCCTTACATTTTCCCTCACACCCTCAATTTTTCCTTACATTTTCCCTCACACCCTCCGTTTTTTTCTCATTTTTTTCCTCACACCCTCAGCTTTTTGTGAAATCCTCAGTTCTCCTCATACCCTCAGTCAGCTTTTCCTTAAATTTTCCCTCACACCCTCAATTTTTCTCCATTTTCCTCACACCCTCAGTTGTCCTCAATTTCTTTTTCTCACACCCTCAGTTTTTCCTCACACCCTCAGTCAGTTTTTCCTCAATTTTTCCCTCGCACCTTCAACTTTTCCTCAATTTTTTCCTCGCACCCTCAGCTTTTCCTCAATTTTTTTTTTTCTCACACCCTCAGTTTTTCAATTTTTTCCTCACACCCTCAGCTTTTCCTGAAATCTTCCATTTTCCTCACATCCTCGGTCAGTTTTGCCTTCAATTTTCCCTCACACCTTCAATTTTTCCTTACATTTTCCCTCACACCCTCAGTTTTCCCTCCGTTTTTTCCCTCACACCCTCAGTCATTTTTTCCTCAGTTTTTCCTCAGCTTTTCCTCACACCGTCATTTTTCCTCGAACCCCGTTCCCCTCACATCCTCACCGTCTCCTGAAATCCACTTTTTCCTCACTTTTCCCTCAGTTTTTCCTCACTTTTCCCTCTCTTTTTCTCCATTTTTTTCCCTCCGTTTTTCGTTCGGGCCGGCCCCGCTCCCCCAGGCCGGGCCGAGGCCTCCCCAGCCGAGCCAAATCTCTTTATTTTTAGTGCCGATAACACCAAAAAATGCGGTTTTTCTTCAGAAGCTCGGTGTGAAGTTGCTCCCACACACTCACCAACTTCCTCCACCCACTCTTTTGTCTGCAAATTGTGCTTTTTTTTTTTTTTTCCCTTCAGAGTTCGAGCTTTTCATGCTTAGACTTTGCAAACCTTTGATTGCTCGGGTTCGTTCTGCAGATATTCCCCAGTTTTGGGGCTTGATAAGCATCAAAAATCTCTTTGAAACTCTTGTTTCCTTTTTACATCTTAATCGGGGCTTGCATCTCTCCTTTGGCAGCGTGACTGGAATTTGTTCTGTGGAAAAATCGGCCTTGAGAAAATTAAATTCACCTTTAAAATGACAAAAAAGGGTTTGGGTGTTTTGGGATTAAAAGCACCTAAACGCTGCTTTGGGATTAGAAATTTAAAAGGAGAAGGGGGAAAAGTGTTTTAAGAGTATTTTTAGGGCAGTAATGCAGAGCTGCTGTTCGTACTAAATGGCCAAGGAGGGTTTTGGTTTTTATTTAAATAATGGATTTGAAAGTTGTGGGTCCCTCGAGGGTGGCAGTGAAAGGTTAAAGCCATTGATGCTGCAGATTGAAGTGGTTTTTGGAGCAAAGAGCTTTGATAATTCAGAATAAACCCCACTGTGAGCTTGATTTGAGGTGGTACCTGTTGATAAAAACCGGTTTTTTGCACATAGCATCCCTTCTGTAAGCAGAGGTGAAAATATTGGCAGGAAATTTTTTTTGCCAAAAAAAATGGGGGGTAGAAAGTGAAATTTCCTTTTCCTGGCAAGTTTTGTGCTTTCCTGGCTCAGTAAAATTCCTGATTCCCTCCTGAAGCTTCCTAGAGATGCTTAATACGATGAGGAAATAATCAGATATTTTCTACATGGAACAGGGAATTTTCTGAGCTCCTGAATAATTCATCCCCGGCTTCCTGGGTGTAGAATTGGGAATTCCAGCTGGCCCAAACCAGTTTATTTTATATTTTTTTCCATCTGGATGTGAGTTTTGACTACAAGCCAGTGTTATCAGCCCATCTCCTGGGATTTCCTGCCTCGAATTTGGGATTTGAGGCTGGAGCAGTGGGAACGAGCCCTGCAGTCACCGCCAGGCACCTTCAAGGATGCTCTAGAATAATTTGGAAACCCTCAAAAAAGAATTCAAAATAAAAGAATAAAAAATAACTACAAAAAAAACCCTCAAAAAAAATAATGTGGAGAAGTGCTCAAGAAGTTTAATTAAGTTTTAATGAAGTTCATAATCAAACTGGTTATTCTGCCTTCCTCTCCCCAGCATGGCACTTCACGAAGATTCTCTTTATTGTAATTAATAATTAATATTAATGATTCGGGCACCGGTTGGTTCATCTCCTGTCCAGTTAAAACTCACTGCGAGGAGGGGAAAATTCTGTTGGGACAGAAATGATGATGCAGGAATGTGTGGGGGAGAGGAGGATTGGGTGGGATATTGGGGAGGGATTCCTGGCCGGGATGGAATTCCCGGGGAAGCTGCGGCTGCTCCATCCCTGGAAGTGTCCCCGGCCAGGCTGGAGCACTCTGGGTGTCCCTGGATGGGATTTTTTGGTCATTCCCATCCCATTCTGGGGTATCTCTGTCCTTCCCTGCACCCTCTGATGCCAGGTTTAACTCAGGAATTCCCAGGCTCTTCCTGATGGGATCAGCCCAGCCCAAAACCTTGAGCTTGCCTTTGCCATCCCGAGCTCCCGAACTGGAATTTTTTAATTTTTTTTTTTTTTTTTGATGTGAAAAAAAAAAAAAAAAAGGAGAAAAGTGGGGGATTGATTGCTTTGTGTCCATGAGGGACCACGTGGCGCTTCCTGCAGGAGGAAGTGGCAGCGTCCCGGGCAAATTCCAGCCTGGAAAACCAGCGGGGGAAATGTGGATGGGCAAAGCGATACTGTGCGGTGGGGATTAAGGGAGAGAGAGAGAGAGAGACAAAGGGAGAATTCCTCCAGTCCCTGGAATTCCGGGATCTCTCTGGGGTGTTCCCGGCCGGGTTCAGGGCTGCAAGGTGAGAATGGCTCCCGCTGTTGGAATGTGGCTCTGGAATTGGTGAGGGTGGGTTTGGGGGGTTTTGGGGTGGGTTTGGGGGCCACCAGCGCTCCCACAAACCCGCGAGGAGCTGCTGGGGGTGCTCTGCGGTGGGTGGAGAGTATCCCTCGATGGGATTTCCACACCTTGGGAATCTGCTGCTGGGAGTTCTCCTGATCCTCGCTGTTTGTGGAGCCATCGGTGCTCCCAAAAATCCGGGAAAAATAATTGTGGTGATCGGTTGTGGGTGGAGAGTATCCCTCGATGGGATTTCCACACCTTGGGAATCTGCTGCTGGGAATTCTCCTGATCCTCGCTGTTTGTGGAGCCATCGGTGCTCCCAAAAATCCAGGAGAAGCAGCTGTGGCCCAGTGTGGAGGCGGCTGAAGGTGATGTGTTGTAGATGGAGAGTATCCCTT